CCTTATGAACGTGATGTTCAACCAAGTAGCGGTACAGGGAGGCGCATCGACATTGTAGCCGATCCGTCAAGTTTTATCCATGAACGTAGCTCTAGGGAATCTGTTTCAGATGGACGGTTAAATGCCCGCACGGCTTATGGCGAGAAGTTTAATCTGAAGGATTATGGGAACGTTACCAGAGTACAATACATTAATGGGGCATGTAGAGGAAGCAATATCATAAATGACAGGTCAGTCGCGGAATGTTAGTAGGTCTGAAGTCAATGTTATTTATGATAGTAATACGACGGTGACAGCAACGAGAACGGAGAAGCAATGGGTTTGAAAAAGCAAAACAGCGACTTGCACTTGCATCACGCATTTTGGTTTTGGTACATTTCTTTCCCGTCACTGCACAACTGCGACGTAAAAGTGCCTAATTTCACTTTTTTTGGAGGACGCGCGTGAACCCAAGACAACAACTTTCTTTTTCTTTTTCTCAACCTCGATACAGTCCTTTCGAATTCATCTCCAGAAAAAAATAAATGCATTCAATAAATTTAACGAGGTAGAATAAGCGCGAATTCATTTTTCCAAGGTAACGTTTTCGTCGCTATCGTCTTCGTTGTTGCTTAAGTTCTCTGTTGACGATTTACACGTATGTAAAAAGCACGATTTAAAAGTTCATGGTTGCATTTGCACAGGGGGCTCAGGCATTCGGTTAGATTATACTGGATAAAGATTACTTCGAACATATATTGATAAGTGGAATTTGGGTGGCCATTATGAATTTTGCTGTCAACTGGAGCGAGGTCTGGAGTCTAGAAATCTTCGGAGCCGCTCCGCTGACTTTATACTGCTCGGCAATCGAAGGCATTTTCCGAGAGTTTTCTGACTGTCCCAAACTGGTTCCAAGACCCCTAATATTTCTCGGCTCCAGGCTTCGCTCCAGCTAACCGCAAAATTCAAATTGTCCACCAAAGAAATGAAAGTCCGTGCATCGGTAAAATAATTAATCCTTTTTATATATTAATCTTGTCCCGAATGCGAGAGCCCCCTTTGTTGTGGCACGGTGATCATCGTGTTCATGTTGATTACTTACTTTTTTTGCAGACGATGGGGTAACAGACGATACAAATTTGGTCCACCTTCAAACTATAAGCAACAGGTGAGTGTTTTGATTAAAAGGTCTTAATTTCTCGAAGATAAACTGGTTTATCTCGAGAATTTCATTTATGTTACGTGGACTGCACAATCCGTTATGTCTCACTAGGTTAGCTTTTAGATCAACAAAAGGTCAAAATGGTTCCAAAATTTAAGATGTTTGTTCAAACGGTAGATAATGTACCAGTCAATTCCAAAAGTGCCTGTGCCTCCCCCCGGGACAAATTCCCCAGTATGTTGTCAGTTTAGAGCCTGTCTACATGGAGGTGGGGTGGCCCAAGTAGGTGAGGTGACCCGCTTAGGTGAGGTAAACCGCCAGTCCATGTAATCTCTCGTTTTAATTTGATCAAGTTTACACGATTGGTGGGGTGACCATATGAGAGATTATATGGACAGGCGGGTTACCTCACTTAAGCGGGTTACCTCACCTACCTGGGTTCCCCCACCTCCATGTAAACAGACCCTTAGATGGTAAATTACCCCAATGACTAGTCCTTCCAAAAGCGTCAAATGGCCCACCCAGCAAAGACTATTCAAACATTTCCCCACGCCTCAAACCGTTTATTCAGATATAAATATCTTACTAAACACAACCGAAATATGCTTATGACCGGAGTTGTACCCACCATCGAAATACTGTTTTATTTTTCTTTAACGTTAGCAAGAAGTCAAAACTGTGCAAAGTGTCATATTCAGTATCTCTCTTTTAACTTCAGGAACGGTTGAACGGCCGGACAATGTCTTGGGCAGTTGAAGAAGGTGCTCCAGATTTTTGAGAAAAAAAAAATACAAATCGCGTCGCTGTTTAGGTATCGATTTTCGTTTTCGTCCTTGGCTGTTACGTCCTCCATTTGTGTATAAGTTATAATATTGTAGCTTTTGTATTTCCTTGTAACCGTGTAAACCTTTGCTTCAGACTGCATGTGCTAGTAAAAGATGGGATGGGGTGGAATGATAGAGGAGATGGAGAAGAAGCTCTATGATCATTAAGAAAAGGTCTAATAATAGACCCTTTCAAGGTTTTAACGGTATGATGGGTAATCAGGAAAAGATGGTGGAAAAATCAAAAGTTTGTATGGGAATACAAAGTCAACTGATTCTTGCTAATTGAATATATTTGTCACTTTCCCTTTGAAATATGTAACTAATGAACTTAAAGAAACTACATACTAAATCTGGAGTGCATGGCAGTCCTTTGGTCCTTTTTATTAGAAAACCTGAGTTCTTCCATACATTTTCTGTAATCCGACAACACAAAAATTACACATAATGTATGGAAGAAGGCAAATTTTCTCAAAAGCGACAAAGGACTGCTGTGCTCTCCACACTTAGTGCATAGTTTCTTTAATTTCATTAGTTAAAGTTTGCAACGAGCAAGTTACGAGATTTTCAATTAGGAAGAATTAGTTGACTTTGAATTCCCATACCGACGTTTGCCGTCTTGCCCTGATTACCCAGCATGCCCTCAAAGCCGTGAAGGGGGTATTGAGCCCATTACAGTGGGGACACACAAACCGGGACATTTGGATGAATTATTTGTTCAATCACAACGTTTTCTGAAAACAAAAGATTCGTAAGTTTTTGCAAACTGAGCGTTAAAATCCAAGTATTCATTTATGCAACCGTTCAAAACTTTAAAACCGTTTGAACTTAATTATATTACCTAGCCTCTCAGGAAACAACTCTCAAATTTATAAATGTTATTGATCCGTTTGCAGAATTGAAAACGTTGTGATTGGACAACCTTCTTGCAAGTGTCTGGGTTTGAGTGGGCGCACTCTAATAGTGTATTTCTATTTTCATTATAATTTATTTCAACACTGTTATTGAGTCGACTTTCCTTGGATTTATAGAGAAAATTCGTGGTTTTGTTTACGTTTAATGGATACTAATCAAGCAGCAACAGGAAAAGACTGTCTTAGTAGTTAATGGTTTTTCGTAATGGAATGAAGAATGAAGCTTATTAATCCATATCACTCTTTTAGTTTTCGTACTTCCTCCAAAAAAATTATGACACGACTATCACAGTTTGCAAGTTTTTAGTGAAAGGGGAACCTTCATTGTTGAGTTGAATTTAATTTAATTTCATGTCGGTCAGTCGGTTGCCGGTATTGTAAGAGACCTTTAGATTCGAGGACGAGAACAACTGCAAGTACGAAACGAGAACGAAATTTCACTGAAAGTGTTTACGCGTATTCTAAATAAAATAGACACCCCGGAAAGCGTCAATGTACTTTTAATTAACCAGAAAAGTGCGCACTGTTATCTTTATTGGTGGATTTAAGCGCTCGTTTGATAGCAAAATGATAAAACGTCTTTTATGTTATGACTTCTCTCCGCCGCTACGACATTCAAGCCAAAACTCGTAGTAGAATGACGACAGCTTAGGGCTATCACGTTTTCCTGCCAAAATGACGCTGGTTCACGCGTACTCACTGTACTTAGCATTGAGGAATTCTCAAATTCTCATACTTGCAGTCGTTCTCGTCTCAGAGTCTAAAGACTATTGCATGCAAACGAATATTGAGGCCCTGTCAACACGATCCGGTCATTATTGAAACCGCATATGTTTTACCCGGATTTGTAACGATAGTGCCTTAAATTAGCCTGAGTTTTAGTCGTTTACTTCGAGTCATTTTTACTCCCTCAAGAACTGAGAGGAGAAACGACCTCGAAGCAATCGTATGAAATTCAGGCTAGCCTTAAATCACTCTGGACATCGGTTTCAACACAGATGCACTTTCGGTGAGCGGATTCACTGGTTTCGTGTGGGTGGAAGGCCAATTCGTGTTAAAAAAAAAATGGTTCAAAAAACAATAACAACAATCGGATTCCTGTGAATTGGGCATGGTTCTTCATCTTTTTTATCTTGCGAAGGTTTTTTCCTCTGTTTTCATTCCTTGTGCTTGTTTTCAGTATTATTGGTGTAAAACAATAAGAGCAACTTCATTTTTTTCCTTTTCATAAGCAATTGCCAATATTTTCTCGAACAAAGGGTAAGATATCTAGGTAGATTATTTAATGCGCGTTTGTCATTGCCAAGTATTTAAAAAGCGTAAGGCAAAAAAAAAATGTAGTGACTGGGTCAAAAAACAGACCATGTTATCATCAATTCCTGCTATAAATGTCCAAAAAAAGAAACATCGACAACGACAACAATAGCAAACTCACCTTTAAACATTGAAAAGAAAAATGTTAGGAAAGAGAAAACACTTTAGGGGGTAATGAGGTTTGTAGTATGTTTCTGGCTGCAAGCAAGAGAGCATATCCTCTCTTGCTGCAAGTCGACATGGGTGAAACTTTTTTTGCTTTATTGCTTTAATGCAATAGTTTCAAAACAGAAAAAAAAAATGTTTTACTGACAATGATAACCTGTAAAAGACCCGTAAAAACTTTTGCAATTTAATAAATTTAAGTGTTACGGTGTATTTTGCTGCTTATAAGGCAAACGTTCAGCCAGGTTCAACGTTCTTGTTAATTTAAGCGTGGCCGCAAAGCCATAAATATTTATGCGCGTAAAATTTACGTGCGCACGTACGCAGCACTTTCTTCTCATTTTAAGACCCTGAGTGTTGGTCCGGCCGGGGTTTAAACTTCCGACCTCCCGCTCAGCAGACTGTCGCTCTCCCAACTGAGCTGACCTGGCGGCGGCTAAAAACAACAACAGCGAAAAACTAAACCACATTTTTTATCACAACCAGGCTCTTTTATTGTTACACATGTTCACTTATGACAACTGATATCGATATAAAACTACATTTTGTGCAGACATATTTTCCCTTTATTTTCCGTTTCCATGGGCCGATATTGTAATATTTCCTGTCGAAGTCGGGCCAATTGTTAATCTGCTTTAGTCCTCAGGACTTGTCGCCAAGCTTTTTCGCGCACTCTCCAAATCTCACAAAACAGCACAGCTTCTCTTCACAGCTCTCGCTAACCAGCAGGCAACACGGGATTATCGGCAGACATTTTCTCTTGAATGGGAGGGAATGGAAATGAAAATAATAAATATCTAAATAATCAAACAACAATAAAAAGCTTTATATTACGTGGCATGACCCTAAACACAAGTTATGTTCAACTTGCAGTGTTCTGCGTACCTGAACGACTTTGCAAAAGCTTTTAACACTCTGATATGGATATCATAAACGCCCTATCCAATTGGGTTTACTTTGGGTGGAAGCTTTTCCGTTTTGCGGGTAATATTAGAACATTTAACAGTCAAAGTGTCAAGCAAGTGAGCATGGACCATTTATAAAGCGATTAAAGATAAATTGTCTTTCTTAGTTTTGGTTATATAAACACACACCTGAATGTCATTTTCGATTGAAACTTCTCTTAGAAAAGATAAAGAGAGCCGCTGTCAGTAATATCGATTATAAATAAGCTAAAATTAAAATCAACTTTTCCCACACTCTTTCTTTCGTAAACGGTCAGTCTGCCTTTCGACGGGAGGGGATAAGCCTTTGAGAATGCTTAATTCTGTGAATCCCGTAAATGACGAGTCCGCATTCCCGACCACGCAATTCCCAGCAGTTGCGCAGGCTAACCAGCTTACCACATTTGGAGGCAAGTCTTTTATTCCAACGCCCGCTCTTTTCAGACACAAGCCAGTCGTCTTTATGCATTGCAGATGGGCACAGGCGTCATCGCCAGCTTTTTTGTGGCATATCACAGCTGCAACGATGCAAACTTTCTGAAAGAAAATTTTCAAACACGGTGTTCTGAATTCTAAGAGATTGTCACTCACAAAATTAAAATTGATTTTTGTAGCTGTGTTGTTGTTTTGCCCATTAAATGTTTGTTACTAACAGCAACAGAGGAAATAGAGGGGCAAAGAATCACGTTAACGGCAAACGGCAATAATATCATATTACCACGGTACAAAGATTTAGCCCCGTCTTGTCCACGGCTAAATTAGGAGTCTACGACAAACGGCAAACGTCAGATTCAAGTATAGTATTTCTCAGAATAGAGAATAAACAAATGAAACTTGTACAGAACAATTTTTATGGATGAAACTGGCTTGAAACTACCTTTTTAACCTTTTGAGATTGGTGTAAAAATGACTTTTAATAGAGTCCTCAAGATTAAGGTTTTTCGGCTTTTGCCGCGAACGGCGAACGTCGAGAAGTCACGTGATCAGGGCCTTGCAGTCAGGTTGGCGGTTTGAGGTTTACGTTTGTACGGCTAAACGGTCTAGGGGTAAGTGATTTACCACAAGGTTTTTTGCACCCTAAAACATCACAATCCCACGGTTTGAGAAGAACTACAACTTTTTAGAACCCTTATTCTTATTGATTAGCAAATTCTATTTCAAAAAAACATAATTTTGAAGACAATTTCTCAGTTAAAATAGAAGTAAGTGGATGAATGAAAACAAACATGGAAGTCGCGAGCTACCACCCGCGAATCTTAAGTCCCAAATATGGGCAGACGGGGTAACGTCAAACCGTTAACCGCAAACCGCAGTTTGTCGTTTGCAGTAAAATGGCGAAACCTCGAGGCTTATAAGGGTCTCTGATCTCTCTAATTTGCCGACGCATAGCTAAAAACATTGTTTGTTGGAGCTTCGCTATTTTTCATTATGCAGTTGTAAAGGTACCACTTACGACTTTTGGTGGTATTCCTGTTGGGAAGCCGCTGGGCCTAAACGATGGCCTAGCAGGGTCTTCATCTGGTAGCTTGACGATGCTTCGAACCTTCTCTGCCATTTTCTTATCTTCCATTTCGAGATAGTGTAGCACGGCTTGTGGGTGGTACTGTTGCTCTAACTCGGCCTTGGCATATACAGCCACCGCGACGAAGAACAGCAAAGATATCTTGACGTTCATAGTGCTGGATACTCTCTGGTGATCTTGAAGACACTGATGTGCAAGAAGGCTTGCGTACCTGATTATATAGATCACCTTGAGACCCTATCGCGCATGCCACGCTTAATTGATTTTTGTATTAAGTTATAGTGTGTGCACCACTTAAAATTTGTTTAGACAGCTTTGGAACTAGGATAAACTAATTTTCCAGCTTTTGTGCCACCTTGTTTAAATATATTAGCACTGTCAGGTTTAAGGTTTTTGAAAGTTGAGAATTTTACACTTAGATCACAACATGATATAACCGGTAGATTCCACCATCACCTTTTGTGCTTTTATTTACACATCATAAACTTTTCTTTTGTGAGGAAAATTATCTTGAGCTGGGCCAATTAAACAATTCCTTTATTTCCCAGGTTTTTAAAATTGAAATGTGTCTTTTAGCATCCAGTTGGAAATTAGCTGCTCGTTATATTTAACTAGTTTATCCATCACAAAAGTGTACGGCTTCTTTTACGGCGCCTAAGTGTTAAGCGGTACTTCTAAGCCTCCGGATGGCAACCGTAGTTTTCGGAGCGACGTTTTTCCGGTTTATTGGCCGTATTTTTATTGTTTTTATGACTATTTTTTTATTCACTGTCTCTTAGCTCTATTAATTTCAAAACAGACATAAAAGAAAAGAAAAAAAAGAAGCCACGCAAGCCTCGTAAGTATACTGGGATAAAATTTTCGGCATGGGAAAAAGTCATTTGAAACAACAGATCTCTCCGTCTATAACTAATTTGAAATTGATACATTTTGTTTAATATCGGTCTTAACTACCCCGTCTTCCAGTTCGCTCTGCAAGCTGCTTCTTAAAAATCCATTAATTAAACTATTATCCGACGTTGTATGAATCCTTAATGCAGATTATAACTTTATAAGCTTCAAATAAAAGGAAACCTGAAAAAAATGCCTTTTTTAGCAACTGCTGATCACTTTACTCCCCCCCACCCCACCCCTCCCTCCCCCCCTTCAACCAAAAAAAAAAGAAAAGAAACTGGAACAAAAAATAATCTCATCTCTTATTTCCACAGCTTTTTTAGTCGGCCTTTTTTATATGGGCTTCGCTTCTGAGAGGAAACTAATATTAACTAACTAAAGGTAGTCCTGTTATAATGTACACTAAGTTAGATGCTTACTTAATTACTTAATACAAATTAGCATGCTAAGATTATTACTTCGAACATGGTAGAAAAATGACAGCTTTGGATATCTCCTACTGATAAATTACCATCCTTTGTTTTCCACAAAGAGCTCGTTTATAATATTTGCATTGAAAATCAATAACGGTCACGACATCAAAACCCTCCGTCTGGTGCCATTTTCAAAAAACGTAAATATGTTATCAAAACTCTTCAGTCTTCCTCAAACACTATAAGCTAAGTGCTACTAACTTGTCTACTTTGACTTTATCAAAAATTTCTTCAGGCCTAATTTATTAATTTAAGACTGAAGAGTTCAAGGATCTTTTGCAAAGATGTTCAGGGTTCATTTTGGGCTTCTGATCCATTACCCTACATAACTTAACTGGATGGTCTTCCTGATTAAATGGGCAAAGATTTAACAGTGTAATAGCACAGGCTTACCATCTCTTTAAACCTGATTTCACTTGTGTCGACCTACGTCAACCCACTCTTTAAGACTGTTTGCAGCCTCTCTAAGGGACGAACCATTAGAAAAGACTAAAGGGTAGGGGGGAGTTTCAACTTGCCTCTTCCTTGTCTTTTCTTTTTTCTTTCTTTTTCTTTTTTTCTTTTTTTTGATTTATGGAATTAAAGGGTTAAGTGTGCACGAGAACATGCTATCTTGGTGGAGATCGAGTTCTCTAGTTATGAGGCTAATTTAACTAACAAGGAAAGTTAATGCCTTTCTTGACAAGAAAGTGACCTAGTGGTAGACAGTAAATAAGCAACCTAACTTTATTTAAAATTAGAAAGTTTAAGTTAGTTTACATAGTGTCTTATTGAGCACGAGAGCAAATGTCTGCAAAGTCCGCATACAATATCAAACTGTGGAAAACTTTTTCTTTTGACTGACGGTCACTTATTGACCTGATCTGGACAAATAAAATTACCCAGTCTTCACCTAACACTGATAATGCTTTTCTTTAGTCAAGGACCGGTACACAAAGCTGGTATAACACAAAGGCAGTTTAAGGTGCTTTCTTAATGTTATGTTTGAGGTTGAGCTAGATTAGTTGGCAACATTGGCTGACATGTCCACAAAGGCAAATGCTTGCACAGTGTTGTCCTTCTGAGCAAATATCATTAAGATGTGTTCACCCGGTCACTTATGGAGCCTCTTATGGACCGATAACTCGTCAGTCTATGACAATTAAAATGTTTAAATAATCTAAGGATAACTAAGAAAAGCTGGCTAAACACGAAGAAGGCAACGCGCCTCCCTTTATAATTATATTTGTGTTGGGTGGGAGACTTTCACTGCCACCCATCCACCTTCCTCGCAAATATCATTAAACAAGTGGTAAACACTTCTCACGCTAATCTATTAAGGCCCAGTTAGGAAGGGCCACCAGCAAAATGAGCCCCTCGCGATAAATTTTAGTATATCTAAGTTGATAGTAAGGAAGAAAACCACATACCAAGGGTTAACCACGGATTCTTAATAAACTTTAGTGCATTCCAAGTATTCTGTTTAAGGTTTTGTGAACAAATGAGAATGAAATTACAAAGAAAGACTGTTACGCTAACAAGTTTTCTCGAAAAAAAAAATAAACATTGCACAACGCCTTTATTAACTGATCTCTTCCAGTGTTGTATCTCCGTACCTTCATTATTTGTTATATATCCATGTTATTTGAACCTCGTTCAACTTGGTTATTTTTATTTTTCGACCAAGTTAGTGGCAAGTTCTCACCGTCTGAATTTAACTACATTTCATTATACGGCTCCTTGATTAATGAAGCCTACTCGCTGAAAGTTGTGGCAAGTTATTGTAATGGTTATAATTTTTAATATTCTCTGCAATCTCCCCACCTTTCGGATATATTTATATTAGCCGAATTTTATGATAGTCAAACAAAGCTGTTTGAATACAAATATCATTTGTCTAGAAACCTTTGTTTTTCTGTAACTTAAGAGATGCCTGTGACTGCGCCGCCAAAATAAGCCATGCCAATTTCACCGTAGCTACATAAAGAGCTGTAGTTGCCTGCAACGTACAGTGTTCATTGCACACATCTTGAAGACACAATGAAGACGTTCGTAGCTGTTCTTCTACTGAGCGCCTGCGCGACTTATGCCTTCGCTGAAGAGCTCCAGATGCCTTTCAACAAAGCCGTATTTCAGTTCCTGGACGAGCGTCACGATGAGAGAATGGCACAGGTCTTGAGAGACAACGGACTCCCAGAGGATACTCTACCAGCAGCCGACGAGCGGGCGGATTCACCGGCCTTTTTGGTAAGCATGCGTAGAGCGAGTTTATTTGATCAAAAATGGATATGCTAAGAAACACAGAAAACAGAACATGCAGGCTGCAGGTGAAGGCATAAGTAAGGCCGATGTGAGATTAGGTTCAAAGAGTTGTAAGTGAGAGTTGCAACTTTAATTCAAAGGCTTGGAAGTGAGTGAGGAAATTTCTAATTTAGGGCTAATTTACTGCTTTAATTTTGGATGGTGGGACTTTCAATATTGTTTTATACTGGAGGGTCCGCCCGAAATGGGGAAGTTTTCCGGTTAGGCTTAAGATACACGAAAAGATCGTTTTTTGTTAGGCGTTTAATTCTGTGAAAGTCTTGGGGAATCCCTCGTGCCCTTAATTGCTTCACATTTGGGTTCTCAACCAGTTGAGCCCATGAAACAGGGCATTCAATAGGGCAAGAATAGTCAATTCTACTTGAAATTGAGTATGGGATTTGTAATAGCATTATTTTGTAATACAATGTAATAGGATTCTTCGATTCCTTGACCAACTTCTTGTTGAAAGCTCCCAGTCATTGTTCACATGGGGAGACCCAAAGACTCGTGTTCTCAGTAAGTGGTCCGTCTGGTAGGCAGAAAATCATCAAGACTTGCATCCATCATGTTTCATGATAGTCATTTGTTTAATTGCAGGCACCTTGTATCACGACAGGAAAGCTATGTTGGAAATTGGCCGGACGTGATCCGTGTAAAAAATTGGAGTGCATCGATTGCTTCCTCCGTTGTGCTGTTGCTAACCATCCTACCCCTCTTCCAAAACTAACAATACGCCAGGTAAATGAACTAAAACAAAACAGAGCGAAACAAAGCAAAAAAGAAATCGGCGTTTGTGTCAGTAACATGGACGCTGAGCCAGAAGCCCAATTTCTGTTGTACTGTTCAGACCTTGGAGAGGGTCCCTACTGAGATTATACAGGTCCACGGCTAGAAGGCTAAAATCGGTTCTTTTTACAAACAAAATAAATTTGTGCGAAAGTCGGGACTGATCTTGGTTGGCGTTGATCTGCAGAACATGTCAGGAAGAATGAAAAGACAAACCCGAGTTTAGAGTTCATTTTTATTGAGATGAGTCTTGCGGCACCTTAGCTTCTTTTGAAGTATTGCCACAGTCATAATTTGGAAGATCAGAGGTGCCGGACACTGAAAATCACAGATTCAACTACTAAAATACATGGAGGTTGTTAACAAAACTGGGTCGCTTATTTAAAGTTTTATGTATGTATAACTGTCCTCCGTTTTCGTTTTTCCTTTGCAGAAAGGTTGTTTGGCTCTTCTGTATCTGTGCAGAAAGCACAGTCCATCTTGTGCTGGTGAATTGTGCTGCTTCGTTCGCATCAAAAGATGCTTTAAAGCGTCTGGGCACTAAGCACCCGCAAAGAAATGTTACACTGTCACAATGGCAACGAATAGTTGATATCGTTCAAGATAATGTGCAATCAGGCTCGTTTTTCAGTTAATATACTCTTTTATTAACTTGTGCAGACATTGTTAACTTAAAGGGAATAAAAATATCTATAAAAAGGATGGCAATGTGTCCATTTGGTTTAATATATTTTTGTCTTTTTGTAGCTAGTTGACAAATCAAAGACGACAAATTTCAAGGTTTTTTCGTGAGAATTTTATTTAAAATGTTTTATTGTTGTACAAGTAGTTTAAAAAACGAATAAAACGATCAAATATTATTTTGATAAAAAGGAAGCACAAAAGATAGGTGATAGTCAACCTTGGAATACAAAGGATTGTATAGAACGGAGAAGATTCGCTATTTGTGTACAGAAGAAGACGGTAAAGTGTTACAGAAACGAGTTCAACTCCTAGCCTTGCCAGGCGTTTTTGTCCCCTGACGATTGTAGCCTAAACCCCTTAGAGCGTAAGTGCGTAGCCTTGAGATTAACTTAGCAAATGAATGGGTTAAAGCACAGTTTCTTTGAGTAAGAAAGGTGCTGCCTGAGCCAGGAAGAATTTAGCCCTTATTTGGCGTCTAGTCCATTCTCTTCCGAGAATAGAACCCTCAGCTGGCTTCCCCGGCCCCCTCTCTCCGGAAAATGCTTCCTTTGTTCTCATCTAGAACTTATAAACCTGAGCATTTTAAATAATCCGTATGCCGAATGACCATCTATACGGATTTCTATACAAACCAGAAAAAGACAGACCTATTTTTTCACGATGCAGGAACATTTCATTTTGGCCGACCCCACAAAAAGACAATTTGTCAAAAAATTAAACCAGAGTTAAGATAAATACACTTAAAACGAAAAAACAGTCGTTTTCTTATGTTGGATCATGTTTCAATACTCTGTTACCCTTCTGTTTTCCTTCTGTCACTATTATTTTAAGAACCAATTCGATTTGTTGTCCAAGATTTTTGTCCTGCTTTGCAAATGCTGGAATGATTCTGCTCTCGTAACCAACACGTTGAATTCTAAATAATTATATGTCTCGAGGAGTTAGAAGAGACAAATTAAACTAGGGGGTGTGGGGAAGGGGAGGAGCAACATGACCACTTACTTATTAAGCTTTAATCATGTAAACTTACGGGCATTTCGCTTTTATAACCTCCTTTTTAATGAATGTAAATCTTAGTCAATTAGTATATCTAGCCGGAGTTTTGATAACGTTACCGCCAAATGGGCTTTTTGAGTCCAACAGTTTTTTTCGGCCAAAAAGTATCTCCATTATAAAAACTAAGAGCACAACCATTGCTTTTTTCTCTTCTCCTCCTTTCCTTCTCCTCGCTCTTTCCCTTTCTACTTTTCTTTTCCCTCGTTACTGTGATTTTGAAGCTTCTCGGGCTACGAAACCTGCCTTTTGACGCCTTTTCACTCGAATGACTGTAAATTTCGTCAGGTTGGTTTTCAAAGAATCGGTTAGATATATAGATATATTAGCTCCTCTTTCTAACTAATAAAGGCAAAGAAGTGAATGTTGAGTTGTCATCCTCTCTCACTATAATCTGTTTTATGGCAGGATTATATATATATATATTTTTGTTTTTTTTTTCTGGTGACGGGTTCGATCCGTTCAGGGTTAAATGTTGCTGGATTCTTTCCATCCCCTTTTAAACGGCGATGTGCAAGTAAGCTTCTGTACTAATAGTGTGGACCACGTGACACTTAAAGACCTTAAGATTCGAGGACGAGAACGACTACTAGTGCGAGATTTGACTTAAAGGTTTCTTACGTATCCCCAAAAAATAGACATTCCGGAAAGGTTTATTGTCCTTTTTTCACCAGAAAAGCTAGCAATGAGTGTTATCTTTATTGATGGAGGTTATGCTCTCTCCCGGTCGCAAAATGACAAATCCTCTAACATTTGACAACTTATTTCCGCCACCACGACGTTCATGCAAAACCTCGTGGTAGAATGACGACGACTATCACGTTTTCCCGACAAAATTACGATGGGTCACGCGTATAAACACAAATCTCGTGGTCGTGGTCGTCCTCGTCTTTAGAGAATCTAAAGGCCTCTACTTTAGGACCTCTTTGTGCATGCTTATTAATTAGTTTTTGCGCTCGTGTTACATGTAAGTTCGCGTGTGCAAGCCACTTAAAGGTTTATTTGAACAGCTTTGAAACGAGAAAAAACTAATTTTCTAGTTTTTGTGTCCCCTTGTTGAAATATATAATCACTGCAAGTTAACGGAATTTGGACGTGCAATTATAAACTGAGATATTGACAGAAGATTTCATCTTCATCTTTTATACATTTATTTTTTATTTACCTAATGTTAACTTTTAAATTTGTGGCAAAATTATTTCGAATTGGGCTGATAAAGAAACTCTTAATTAAGCTTTTTAAGTCACCCACCAGTCCAACATTTGCAGTCACTATGTTTATTTCCTTGCTTCAGTTAAAGTTATTATTATCTCGCCCAGCTGAAAATTTTGTGCTCTAAGTCGAGTTTCAATGTTGTTAGCAAATAAACAAGAATTTTCAGCGACAGTGGTATACAGCGAAATTTATTAAAGAATCTTTAGTAACGCTTTTTCTATTTTTTTTTTCTTGCTCGTTTAATGTACTGTGGATCGATTTATTGGCAACATACGCGTATAGTCTTCGTATAACTGCCCGTTGGAAATTGTTTTAATTTTAAAAATGGTGAATTTGAAAAATGAAAACATTCAAGGGAACAAATTCGGCGGCAGTACAACGTATGCCGACAAGAATCCACCCCGGCATGGCTATCAGAAGATGTCTGACTCGACAACAGGGAGGTCGTTACTTATAAGATTCACTACTGCAATGATTAAGAAAGAAAGCCAGTCGGGTTCTGTCTTAGAATAAAGGTAGGAAAGATGTTGCATTTTGATAAAGGCCGGCCGGTCTTAACGAAAATAAAAGCAAAGTGTTGTATTTATTAGCACTGCTGCCCCTCATTACCTCTCGTGATCTTAAATATTTGAATTGTTTGGCAACAAGTCCACTAAGAAAAGTACCAACTGTGTCAGATGCATGTGAATCTCTTCTTTTTTATTTAATTTTTTTTTCGTCCGTTGTAGCTATTTTACTAAAAAGTTCTTAGTCAAGGGCCTAATTTTTACTATTTTCAGCTACCAAAAGTGAGTATGGCTCTCTTAAGACAAGAAGAATATCAAGAAAACAAGGATTAGGTGAAAAATAAACAACTTTGTTAGTTAACGTTAGTTATATAGCTGGCAATGTAGTTGACATGACAACAAATGTTATCTTACTCCTGTGCAAATATCGTTAAAATTTGTTTAATAAATACTTTGTTCTACTTTGACACGGTAAGGACACTTATTGATCTTCTAGGGAAATATAATTATCCCACCTTTCTGCAACATTTAGTGAAATGTTTCTTTAAGCTTAGGATAGCTAATCGAAGCTTGCTAAACAAAAAGGTGATTTGCTTTCTGTTATGGCACGACCATCCATTCTGTGCAAATATCATTAAGCGCTCTCAAGTTTAGAAAACACTTATCACGAAATTTTATTGATAGTCAGGCAATGTTAGTTAAACACAGTGGCGACGCGTTTAGAATTGAAAATTACTAAGAGGAGCCCCTCTGGACTATGTAAAAATAAGTACAATTAATATAATTGCAAGGAGTTACCTACTCACCAAGAATAAGTAATTGTTTAAAAAGAGGTAGAGGGGGGGGGGGGAATAATTAATGAACAACTGGAGAATTTTTGGCAATTATTATTCTTTTGTCTTAGTCTTTCGTGCCATTTCCTTTTGCTTAGCTTGATAACAGTTCTAAAGTTAGTTTAACCCAATGATAGTCAAACAAAGCTGGTTTGAGCACAAAACTCACTTGTTCAAACACTTTTATTGTAACCCTAATTAATCATAGTAGTTGTGGGAGACTGCGCAACCGCAAAGTGACATCAACCAAGTCAGTGTAGCTACATAAGGAGCTCTTATTCCTCTAAAAGAACAGTGTCGTTGGTTCCACTGATCTTGAAGACACAATGAAGACGTTCATAGCTGTTCTCCTCCTGACCGCCTGCGTGGCTTATGCCGTCGCTGAAGAGGCTTTTCACGAAGCTGTGTTTCAGTTTTTGGATGAGCGTCACGATGAAAGAATGGCACAGGTCCTGCGAGACAACGGACTCCCTGAGGACACTTTGCCGGCCACCCAGGACGACGATGACTACAACAAAAACAGACCACGTTATTGGATTGTTCGTACAACCATTTTTTAACCTTTGCTTTTTCTTTTCTTTTCTTTCTTTCTTTCTTTCTTTTTTTTTTTAATGAGTTGATGAGGATAAGAACGGAGAGGGCTCAGTCAGTAGAGAGCATTTAGAGGGTGGGGGTGGGGTTGCTTAGTCTTTAGAGCACCATTATCTCCAGCAATCTCGGGGGGAGGGGGGTGAGCTCAGTAAGCAGAGCGCATTTAGATCCAATAATCTCAGGGGTGAGGGTGGGATTGAGAGATAAACCATAGTAATACCTTGCTATTATCATTTTTGTTGTTGTTGTTTTTTATGCTTCTGTTGTTGTTTTAAAATTGTCTTTTTGGCAGAAGCGTATTCATTGTTGTAGTTACGGTCGAAACTCCATTAAGCGGCCAGTAATCAAAGTCCCGAAATAACTGAAGAAAAGAATTTGGCTGCGGTCGTCCCAACGAGAGTTCGCCCATTGTTCCCAATTCGGCCAATATTCAAGCGCTTGATTCACAGATCCTCACAAAGTTTGGCTCCAATTCAAGAATATGATGAAGGGAAAAAACAGTCCGAGATAGAAAGTGACAACCGCTTGCATTTTGGACCAGTAAATGCCTCTTTCGTCGCACTTTTGTTTCAAAATAAAGTGACGTTTCTGCTGATTTATGACGACTCAAGGGGTTTAAGGCCTGTAACAAAGGGGTGTTCTGAGCATATGAATGGTTGGCAATATCTATCGCTAGGAGACAGAACAAAAGAATTTTCCTCCGAAAGTAAATCTTCACGTTTTCTTGTGCGTTAACGTTTCATTATGGTCACGTGACATGTCACGTAACCAAAAATTGAAAATGAAGGAATTTGGCGAATTGGTGGCGAATTTACTTAGTTTTGATAAACAAATTTGGCACTTCCGAAAGAGGATTTTAAACATACCTAACTTTCTACGTTTGGAATGAATGTACTCAAAGTTTAAAATTAAAGGCTTAAATAATTCAAGATTAAATCTGGGCATTTAAAATGATGTTTTACAGCATAATTTTTTTTCGAATTGCAATGGACTGTCATTCCAAACGTGAAGTGTTAGAAATATTCAATATGTATTAGAAAAATGTTATTGCTCGATTTTTTTGCTTAAACCGGCCACCAATTGGTCAATAATTTACCATTTTTAACAAAATGGTCACGTGACATATCACGTGACCTACTAATACAACATTTATACTTTAAACTGTTAAGGACGATGGGCTGTTTATGTATACCAAATTTTGATTCAGCGGCATCATCTATGCCAAAGTTATAGTCAATCATTCATTTTCAACAGGAAAACTCCTTAATCCCAGGCCTTAAAATACTTGAGGAACCTCTATTGAGCGGCCATTTGTCGGTACCCCAAGGGTAGCCCGGCGTGAGGGGTTCAACTGCAGTGGCGGATCCAGGGGAGGGGCCAGGGGGGCCCGGATCCTCCCCCCTTATTTTTAGACCAAACTGAGGTGAGGACCGAACATTTTTTTTTCTTTTGGAGACCGCCTCCCCGCCCCCCCCCCTCCCCGCCCCCCCCCTCCCCGCCCCCCTTATCTGA